CCTGCTCCTGCTGCTCCTGCTCCTGCTGCTGCTCCTGCTGCTGCTCCTGCTGCTGCTCCTGCTCCTGCTCCTGCTGCTGCTGCTCCTGCTGCTGCTCCTGCTGCTGCTCCTGCTGCTGCTCCTGCTGCTGCTGCTGCTCCTGCTGCTGCTGCTCCTGCTGCCGCTGGGACGGAGGTGGAGACGGAGCACGCCCCAGTTCAAGCCGAGGATACAGCCACTCCGCGCGGCCCCGCCAACGACCCTGCTATCTCTGCGGGTCATGCTCCCGAGGCTAATGGAAGTGCGAAAGTGACAGAACCCCCACCAAAGTCTGTTACTGGCCGAACACGGGAATCTGTAGACATTTCTTCAACGGAGCCGTCACGCGACTTCAGCACGCTCATGTTGTACGATGGATCTATATCTATTGCCCCGGATCCAATGCAGTTTGATACAAATGCAATTATTACCACAACGCCGACGTCCACTTCATCACCGGAGTCTCTGCAGGTGGATATTGTGGACCTTGTCCTTGCGGCTATTCAGAACTGCCGCTGCGACAACCCCACATACGCGGGAAGTAGAGAAGTGAACGCAGTAGACTTCAACAGTGGCGGCGGAGGAAGTGTAAGGAGAAGAGGCACAGAGGGAGAAAAACTGGAGATGAAGCGAGGGACGGAGGGTGGTAAGGCTGGTAAAGAAAACGACTATGAGGAGACGCAAAGTGGTACACGTGGGGCTTCCAGGCAGGCGTTGACGTTTGCCCTTATGCTGTGCCGACGAACATCACGTCGGAAGCGCGGCAGTGTACGTGACAAACGACAAGCGCTGAGTAAAGGTAAACAACCACCGATGGAGTCCTTCGTATGTGTGTACTCCATCGCCAACCCAATGGAGAATGCGTCTTCACCATTATCAACGACAATAGCACCGACAGGGCCACGTGGTTACGACTCGTTGAACCCGTATGAGTCGACCAATTCGAATTTTTACCGTGATAGGTATGGCGAGTACTCTTTATCCAAGATGGAGGAACTGCAAAGCTTTTCCAGACAACGGCCGCGGGGACCACCTAAATCAGAGCACCTCACTGCTTCCATTGAGGACATGCGGGGAACCCATGGCGCAACGATGCCGGTGACGCTGCAGTACGTACGTATTGGAAATGATCTCTATGCCGTCACCGAGGTTTCAGACCGTACGTTTGTGCAGTACAGAGAAGAGCGGGTTCTGCTGGGTCGCGGCGGCGTCGATGAGCCTTATCCTGGTGTCTCTGGAGCCGCAACTGAGGGAACGACTGCGGCCAAGAGAGCTAGGCGGCTGTCGTCGTACTCCATAGGTGCCGCATCCTACTCGCTCGCATCGTCGCCGCAAATGGGTGTGCGTCATCAGCTGGTACGCATGTGTTGGTTATGCCTGCGCACCGAGGCCAATATTATTATCTTGCCATGTGCGCATTTTCTTCTTTGCCGCGCCTGCGCGGACACTTTGTCCCACTGCTGCATTTGTCATCGTCTCATTCATGCCACCATTGAACTACATGACGACACCACAGGCGAGACCGAGGTGTGATTTAAGAAGCTGTGATCTTTTTTTTTTCGTTTTTGCACTACTGTTATTCCTCCTCTCATGTACGTGTGTGGGTGTGCTCTTTTCCCTTCTTACTTTTCCTCTCGCTGCCACTGTCGACGTTGCGTAGAGCACCGTTCATATCTGACGTTTGACCGAGTACGGAGCGAGTAGCGTGAACAAAACACTAGCGGAGGCGTCCGCTATCTCTCCTTCTTAGGACCCAATCCTGCTTGGGCGTCTCTTTCTCACTCTCACAGTAGCTGCTATCTGTATCTGCGTCTGTGCGTGCAAGTTATCCCTCTTTTTTTTTTCATTTATTTCCCATTTTCTTTGCCAGTGAGCACACGCATTGGCTCATACATGCGGGTCGCCCCGCAGCAACAGCGAGCATCATTGAGTAACACAACTTCATTTGTGCATCTATACGGTGCTGCATTTAAAAAGCCCCATCCACGAAGTTTGTGAGGGAAGTAAAGACACAATACAAGGGATCCGGAGGGGCAGGAGGAGGCGTTTCCACCGGAGAGGGGATTGGCAGTTGGGACTGGGTGACGGAGAGAAAGAGAGAAAGCAGAACCGACATCTCGTGTGTGTGTGTGGGTGGGGGGGGGGGAGGCGCACGTTTGCATAACAAGGGCATAACGTGAAGGGAAACCACTAGCAACAACAGCAACAAAAGAGTGGTTGCAAGGAGAGGGCGTGGGTAGGGCGAGGGGCGCGGTGGTGTGTGTGTGTTTTTCTTGTTTTACCCACATGTTGGCAGCCACTTCGGGAGATGCGGGTGGTGGAACCCCTCTTTTGGGGGATGATGTCATTTCTGTCATCGCAGCCATGATGCACTCGGCGACGGTGCAAGAGGTGCGAGAGGCACTGCGGCAGGATGGTGGCCTTGGCTGTCGATGCCTTTTGACGGATTTATCGGCACCGGAGGCGAACGCGGAGGCGGAACAGCCACCGCCCTGCGGCAGCGGCACGGGCATCGGCAGCCAAGCGACGACCTCACACCTGGCGGTGTGCGAGTTTGTGGAGCGTCACGCTGGGGAGGAGGAGGTGGCGGCGGGGCATCACGTGGTGGCAACGCACGACGTGTCGGCAATCCTCCAGCGACACGCGGAGGCCCCTCTCAGCCGCACTCCATCGATGCCCCCAAATAGGGATGGAGCAGCAGGCACGCCCGTGGGGACAATGACGACCCCAGGGGCAGTGGCGGGGCCCACGGGGCCACAATCATTGCTGCCGGTGCCGTCTCTGCCGTTGCCACCCTCGTCGTCGCGGGAGATGGTGCGCTGTGTCCTCCTCTCACGGCGTCACCCCACCAGTAGTTCCGAGGCAGCGGCGGCAAGGACAGGGCCTCTCACGTTGCGGCACCTTAACCTCCACGCAATAGAGATGCAGCAGCCACTAGAAGGCTTACAGACGCTTTTGGAGGGCGTGTATGAACCACTTCTGCGATCCAAACGTGAGGTCACACTGCGGTCGCAAATGCAAGACTTGCTTAGTTCTATCCGATCGCACTGTCAAGTCCTGGCTGAGGTGGATTTGAAGATATTTGTGCACGCCGATCTCCTTGAGGTTTGTGCGGCGTACCCGGAAGCGGATGTTGAGCATTTGTTGGAGATTCTTGGCCCTGAGGCGTGCACCGACTCCACTTTTTTGCTTCAGGTCATGGCTCTTCGCAGCCAGTGCCGCGGCGTTTTGGAGACCAAATTTGAGGGAAGGGAAATTGTGAGCTCACGTGACGAGGTGGCGTACTGGCAGGCTGTGCTACGTTGGGTAGAACAGGTGCAAAAACAGCTCCAAAGTCGCGAGTGGCAGCTGGTGCATCGCCTACTGGGCAATCGCGTGGAAACGAGCTATGAGGTGGAGTTTAGGATGCATGCAAAACTCGTCCGTGAATACTTGACACACCTGAAGAGTGTGCCATTCCAGCAGATTGACGAGGTGGAGGAGGACGGCTACGCAGCGTTGGTGGAAGAGTTGTTTTTGGCCATGGAGCGTCCGACAAAATACCCGGCGTTGCAGCGTTTTCGTCTGCTGGAAAGTATTGTGCGGGAGTTGGTGGAGCGGTTTGTGGCGGTTGCGTCTAAGAGTGACGTACTGCGCATGGGCACCCCAGAGGCCCAGCTGCAATGCCTGCGAAGGACGATTCATGTGCTGCAGGATTTGCATCAACGCTACCTGCAGACAGCTGAGTTGTTTTGCTCCGCGGGTCACCTACCGACGCCGCTGCCATCCACGCGGGGCGGTACGCAGCAGCCGAAGCGTCAAGTCCTCGTCTTGGCACGCGCGCGGCAATTGTGGGGATTCGTGAATGAACATTTTCACTACGAGCGTGCCCTGCAACGGACCTTTGCTGACGGCGGTCTTGGGGCGCGCACGACGTGCTCGTTTCACGTGGAACTCACAGAGGCGTATGATCACTTTGCTGCCGCAACAGTGGAGCGTGGATGCTTGTGGGATATTAGTTCATCTGGCACCGCTGAGTTTCAGCGTGCGCTGGCGGCGTACGAGCGGCGCCTAGCAGACATCGACGAGCGCCTCGCACTGCTGGTTGGCACCATGCTGGCAACAGCGCAGGAGATGAGCAGTACTGGTTCCTCTCTGACACCTGCCGCCTCCCCCACTGAGGCGGCAGCACCAGATGCTGCTGCAGTAGGGGCAGCAGCATCCAGGTACTCGGCAGATACAGGGCCTGGCCCCTCGCTTTACCGCATTTACTCCCGTTTCCGCCCACTACGGCGTGAAAAGGTGCAGGCTGTCGTGGCGGGGTTTCAGATGGCATTGCTAGAGCAAATCAACCGCGAGATGAAGGAAGTTCGGGAGCGCTACTTTGACGCAGACAGCTGCCGCGACGGTGTGCGGATAACCGTCTCGCGCTTCGGTGTGACGTCTGTTGTGGGTCGCATGTTGTGGGAGAGGTCTGTGCAGCAGGAGATTGAGGCGTATCTTGAGCGTCGAGACGCCATCTATGAGCACGGTTGGCACCAGCTGCTGCATCTTCGCACCATTGAGCACCACTGGTGCCTTGACGAGTCCCTTGCACAGTTCTTTGGGGTTCCACTACACGCTCTTACGACAAAGGAGCTTGAGGGGGACCTCGATGTGTCTGGCACGGCGTACGCCCTGGCATACCTTGACCTTGTCCACGGCAAGGATGAGCCAAAGTGGTCCGCTGACCCACATATTCAGGCCGCACGGATTTTTCTGCAGGAGTGTGACGCCTCTGCGATTGATTACGCAAAGTCGCGCCTGGTGCTTCTTCGCGTGGGGAGCGGCCGTGGGGTGGAGCAGAGTGAACTGCGAGACGTGCGCAACTTCTGTGAGATCATTTCACAACGAATTCGAGAACGCGTTGTGCAGTGGTGTGAGGATGTGCGGCGACGCATTGCTGCACTTAACGTGTCCCCCGACACGATGACGATGAAAGGCCCCCTTTGGCACGTCGTCCAGCAGCCGCGTGGCCGTGGCCGCGGCCGCGGCGGCATGAGTATAATTGCCAGCGTAGGCAATGATAATGGGGGAACTGCTACTGGTGGCATGCGACGCATTGTCATGCCGCATATTCCCCAGGAAATGTTTGCGCTCTTGCAGGATCTGCACATGCTAGAAGGCATGCAACTGCTTGAAAATCACCTGCAGCTTGTTGCAGACGTGCGCTCCTTTTTTCTGCATAACGAGGAACGCTTCCGCATTGCTAACTGTCTTTCCGCGCTTATCCATGCATTTGAGACCGCACTCGACGGGGAGGATGAGATGATGGTCCATCTTGCGACAGAGGAATATGCCAAGGTGCACCAGACATTTCTTGATGGGGCCCAGTTGCGGTGGTCAGACGAAGAACGGCTGCAACAATACACGCAGGAGCTCTCCGACCGTGTCTACGCCTTCTGCGTTGCTGCGGCCCGCGTGCGTGAAGTCACGGCAGACATGGAGCGCGGGGTTGCCCAGCTGCACAGTCGCGCCGTGCAAAAGGCGGAGGCGGTGGTGTGGCGGGTGGGGGAAATGCACTCCCTCGTCAACGTCCTCTACGCGAATTGCGCCAACGCAGGCTGGTGGGTGCGACGCCTGCAGCCGCGCCTGGACGCCGCTATAGTCTGGCAGTTGGAGCAGCACCTCCGCCGCTGGTCGGATGAGTTTTTTTCTATGAGTCACGACCAGAGATTTCTTGACAAGGGCGCCGAGACAGAGGAGTTTGGCCTGCGGCCGTTGCGTGTGCGCATGCGGGTGGTGTTCAAGGAGATTGCGCTGTCGTCACCGGCCGCCGCGTGCCGTCATCACTGGCTGAACGAACTGAACCGCTCCTTCGCCTGGGTGCACACCCTGTCTACGCTGCGGCAGGACTACCCACACCAGTCACACCAGCAGCGGCAACCGTCTCCCTCGGCCCCGTACCAACAACCGCAGCAACAACAGCAAGTGCTTGCGGAGTGGAGCTCAAGTGCCTCGGCGCTAGCCACGTATGAACGTGTATTGGAGTGGCTTCCTCCGCAGTTCCTTGCGGAGCCGCTGCAGGCAATTGAGAAAACCATCCGGGACGCCGTCGAGGTGGAGGCACAGTGGCGTCGTGGTCAGCAGCTGTTAAACCTTGAGGTGGGGGTGCTGCAGCAGCGCCTCGGGGACGACCTTGAGAAGTGGGGAGAGGCGCTGCAGAAGATTCGCGAGATGGCAGGCAGCCTGATGGATTATACGCAGCCCAGCACTCTCGTGGGCGGCATCGTTATTGTCGCGGATGACGCACAGAAGGAGCTTGGCCGGAAGCTGGACAACTTGACGCAGTACATTCATTCACGGTACCGCGATGTGGTGGAGAAGCGTCTAGAGTCGTGCTACCATGGCGTCATGGGGGCTCGCGCGGCGGCGGAGAACTGCAATGTCATCAACAACCTCGAGGACGCGGCCCGGTTTATCTGCGAACTGCCGGAGATCCGGGGAAATATGCAGGCGACGGAACGCCAAATCGCCTCCCTTACGCCTGCTGAAGATTATTTGAGGCGGCAGGGTTTTGCACTGCCGGATTCGTGGATTTATGTGCGGAAGCTCAAGACGGAGTACCGCGCCTACCACGATCTTATTGAGCGAAAGGTCAAAGCCTTGGAGTTTCGTCGCCCCTTTCTCTGTGAGAGCCTCAAGCCGCAGGAGGAGGATCTTTCTCGCCAGATTGACGAAGTAGAAGCGTCCCTGCACACTATTGTCACATGGGTGCAGGATCAGGAGCAGGCGCAGCTGGAGGAGGTTTCAGACTCGGCCCAGCGACGCTTCAGTGAGATGCAGGAATGGGTCGCGCGACTGAAGGAGCAGCGAACACGACTCACTGCGCTGCAGGCGGCGCTCGGAGTCCCAATCCTTGCGGAGACAAAGTTGGAGGCCATCATGGCGCGCATGGAGGAGATGCAGTGGGTGTGTGGCCACGTTGCACGGGCTTATCAACGACTACATGCGCTTGCACGAACGCCATTCTCTGAAATGGTACCACGGCAACTGCACGAGGAGCTCGTCGCGATAGATCGTGAGGTGCGAGAGTTCCCTGAAGGGGTTCGTACCCACCAGGCCTACAATGAACTCCAGCTCTGCGTTGAAAGCCGACTTGCATGTCGGCAGCTGATGCAGGAACTACGCTCCGACGCCATGACACCCTTGGAGCGCGCGGAGCGGCATTGGATGGCGCTGAAGTCGCAGTTGCACGCACCATGGAAACTTGAGGCGTTGACCGTGGGCGACATTTGGCGCAGCAATCCCGTAGAGAACGCGAAGATCTACCATGACGTCTTGGAGTTCGCCCACGGTGAGCTTCGTTTAGAGTCACAACTCGGACACATTATTGGCTTCTGGAACACGTTTGCGTTCAACACAATGGTGTACCGGCATCAGTTTGTGCTTGTCCGTGGATGGGACGTCGTCTTTGAGCGACTCTCGGATGATCTTGACTCCTTCCAGGGCCTCCGCTCCAGCCCCTTCTTCTCCTCGCAGCACGTCATTGCCATGGTGGCGGACTGGGATACTCGTCTGCAGCTACTCTTGCGGACGCTGGAGGTGCTCATGGTGGTGCAACGGCGGTGGGTTCATCTCGACAGCATTTTCACCGGTAACGCCGACATCCGCCGGCAGTTGTCGAAGGACGCAATACAGTTTGATCGGGCGACTCGTGAGTTCATGAAACTCATGCCCGCAAAGGCGAGCCTTGGTGCTGCGCCTGTACTGAAGGCGCAGGACTTTCTTCAAGACAAAAAGCTTCTAACCTCGCTGGAACGGCTTGAGGGACAGCTTTCCCGGGTGCAGAGGGCGCTGAGTACATACTTGGACCTGCAACGGCGTCAATTCCCGCGGCTCTTCTTTGTGGGCGATGATGACCTGCTGGAGACCCTTGGAAACAGCAGCAACCCAACTCTCATTGAGAAGCACTTGCCCAAGATGTTTACTGCCCTAGCCCGATTTATTATTGGCGGAGATGAGAGCGAAGGTGACGGAGCTAAGGACGGCGATTCTGCGGCACCGATTCAAGTTATGGGGTTTGCGAGTGCTGAGGGAGAAAAGGTGATGCTGGAGCGGCCGGTAGCGTTGAAGGATCGTCCGCTGCATGACTGGCTGGCTGAGGTGGAGGCCTCTATGGTGACCTCCCTCTGTCGGCTGACACGGTCAGCCGTGGAATCGTTAACATCCAGTGGAAAGGTGACGACGGCGTGGATCACCTCGTTTCCGCTGCAGGTCGTCTGCCTTGCCTTTCAGGTGTGGTGGGTGCGGCTGCAGGAGCAAACCTTCCTGGCATGGCAAAGGCAGGGACGGACCGGTAAGAAGGAGCCCTCGATGGCTGTGGCTCACATGGTGTCTCTGCTCGACCGTCTCGCTGTGGATGGCATATTGCCGGGCACGACGCTGGCTTTGCGCCACGGTATGGAGGAACTCATCACTCTCGCCGTGTATCAGCGCGATGTCTCGCGTGTGATTGACTCAAGGCAAATCCTCTCCGCTGATGAGTTTGAGTGGCTACGTGTCCTGCGGTTGTACCTAGGCAAGGATGGCGCCGAGTTGCAGTGCCAGATGGCTGACACCTCTTTCCGTCACGGCTTTGAGTACCTTGGATGGCACCAGCGCCTTGTGCAAACCACCCTCACCGACCGCTGCTACCTCACCATGACGCAGGCACTGCACGCACGCCTTGGTGGCTCGCCTGTGGGTCCTGCCGGCTCTGGGAAAACGGAAACGGTGAAGGCGCTGGGCACGCAACTCGGCCGGCACGTGTTAGTGTTTAATTGCGATGACACCTTTGACTTTGACGCCGTTGGTCGTATTTTACTTGGCCTCTGCCAGGTGGGCGCGTGGGGCTGCTTTGATGAGTTCAACCGACTAGAGGAGCGTGTGCTGTCAGCGGTGTCGCAGCAGATTCAGACCATCCAGGAGGCCCTTCGAACAGAATCTGACACTGTCACGCTCGCACAGCAGACTGTGCCACTGCGGGAAAGTGTGGCGTTGTTTATCACCATGAATCCGGGCTTTGCTGGCCGCTCAAACCTGCCGGGGAACCTTAAGCAACTGTTCCGCACCATGACAATGGCGGCCCCCGACCGTGAGACCATCGCGGAGGTCATGTTGTTTGCCCAGGGGTTTCGCACGGCGGAGGCGCTGTCGCGGAAGATTGCTCCGCTCTTTCACTTGTGTTCGGAAAAGCTTTCCCAGCAGGCGCACTACGACTTTGGGCTACGCGCTCTGAAGTCTGTTCTTCTGACGGCAGGCGATCTCAGACGCTCTTCGCGCGAGGACGCCGTCACGAACCCCAGCGCCCCTCCCATGGACGTGAACCTTGAGGAAGCGGAGGGGGAAATTATGTTGCAAAGCCTCATCAGCAGCATTACACCGCGTCTCGTCACGGAGGACGTGGCACTCTTCTACCCTTTGTTGCGGGACTTCTTTCGAGGTCTTCAGTTTCCTGGCGCGGCCATGACGGCATTGCGTGTGGCCATTGACGACGTATGTCGCGAGACTCACTACGTTGCAACACCAGCGTGGGTCGAGAAGGTTTGTCAGCTGTATCACACACGCAAGATGCGGCATGGCCTCATTTTAGTTGGACCAAGTGGGACAGGCAAAACGGCCTGCTGGAAGACGCTGCTGCGTGCCATGGCGCGACTCACCGTGGTAGACAGTGATGCACATGATGGTGGTGGCGGCAGTCCTACCGAGGAAGGCGTTCCTAAAAGTGGTCCACTGGAGGCGCATGCCTACTTGATTGACCCCAAGGCGATGAGCAAGGCAGAGCTTTTTGGCGTCTTTGAGGCAACCACGCGGGAGTGGAAGGACGGCGTCTTCACGGAGATCCTGCGCCGCATCGTTACAAATGAGATGGGCGACGATCGCTCACGACAGCAGCATTGGATTATCTTTGACGGTGACGTGGACCCGCACTGGGTGGAGAACCTCAACTCCCTGCTCGATGACAATAAGGTCTACACCCTGCCAAACGGCGAGCGGCTTAGCCTCCCGCCATCGGTGCGCATTGTGTTTGAGGTCCAAGACCTGCGCTGTGCGACGCCGGCCACGGTGTCGCGTTGTGGCATGATTTGGTTCAATCGTGGTACCGTTCCAGTCTCCAGCGTGCTCAGCCGCCACTTCGGGGCCTTCTACCGTGTTCCGTTGATTGATGGGCAAGGCAAAAGGCGGCTCAACTTTCTGACTGGCGACAGCGAGGAACACAAGACACGGTCCGGTGGGAATTACTTTATGGTCCCGCGCAGAGGTGGCGAGCGGGGAGGGATGTTGTTTGACGTGTCTAAGGAGGCACAGGCTCCAGCCACAGCAATTGAGGGCGACAATCCCAGTCCTACAAGTAATTTGACTATCAGCACAGTGGAGGAGTCCTTTGCCCTTGGCGACGGCGGCAGCCGGAGGGAGACGTCTTTGTGGTGCTCGAACGCCCTCACCGACACTTGTCGCGAGGTAATGCAGCTACAGATGGTGATGGCAAATGTGTGGGGGCCCGCTTTTGCCAAAGGCGGCCTACTGGAACGTGCCATTCAGCTCATCCACAGTGAAGAGTATTGGAAGCGGGGGATTATGGAGCACAGTGACCTCCAAATGCTGCGCAGCGTACAGTCATTTTTGCTTGATGGAATTTCGCGCATGTGGAAGCTGCGCGAGCAGCGGGCGAAACTGCCCATGGTGAACGTACTGCAAGCATATGCGGCGAATGTGCTTCTCTACGCTGTGCTCTGGGGCTTCACTGCTTCACTAAGCCATGAACTCCGTAGACGCTGGGCGGATGACTTGTCGCTCGCTCTGGGAACCGCGTCCGACGGAGGTTTGGCGGGGACGCTTTCACTGCTCGACGTTCAGCCGGATCCCTTGACTGGGGCGTGGAGTGCCTTCCGCGAGCGTGTGCGGGACACCGCCATTGCAGCAGAGCAGTTGGGGGCAAACGACGTGATCATTCCAACGGTTGACACGTGCCGTCACGAGGAGGTGTTGCGGGCGTGGATCAACGGTGGGAACACGGCGATTCTTTGTGGACCGCCTGGCTCCGGTAAGACGATGTTGATTGCATCGCTGCTGCAGCAGTCTTCCGAATACGACGCCGTATTTCTCAACTTTTCGAGTGGAACGAAGCCGAAAAACATTATTCGAGCCTTGGAGCAGTACTGCAGCGTACAAAACACGGCACGTGGTCCCGTGATGTCTCCCACTGGCGGCAAAGGGCTGTTGCTGTTCTGCGACGAGATTAACCTTCCGGCGATGGATCAGTACGGAACGCAGCCCGTTGTGCAGCTGCTGCGTCAATTAATTCAACGACGCGGCTACTACCGCAGTCGCGACAATGCATGGATCAACGTCGAGGGAGTTCAGGTGATTGGTGCCTGTAATCCACCCACCGACGCGGGACGCGTGTCGCTTTCCCAACGCTTCTTGCGCTTGGCACCCGTGTTGTTTGTGGACTTTCCTACAAAGGAAAGCCTCCACATGATCTACGCGGCCTACTGCCGTGCGGTGCTTGTCTTGAACAGTCGGTTGCAGCGGTCGCACGCGGAGAAGTTGTCGTGTGCGATGGTCGAAGTGTACACGGCCACGCAGGCCCACTTTACCTCGTGGCGCCAACCACACTACGTCTATTCCCCGCGCGATCTCTCGCGCTGGACGCGCGCCGTCTACAACGCCCTCCTGACGTGGGACGAGCCCGAGCGGCGCGCGCTGCGTGCAGAGGGACTTGTGCGTCTTTCCGTACACGAAGGACTACGCGTCTTTCGGGACCGCCTGGTGGAAGACGAGGAGCGGGATTGGACAGACGCCACCATGGATCGCGCCTTCCTCACGCATTTCCCTGAAATCGCGGCGGCGGCGGCGTTGCCCCCGCCATCTCTGCGGCGTCCCGTGTTGTACTCCACAATTCTGCGACGCTCGTATTCAGAGAGCGCGCGGGATGTATTGCGTGCGTACATTGAGCATAAGCTGGAGGTGTTCTGCGAGGAGGAGGTGGACACCACACTTGTCGTCCACGACGCGGTGATCGACCACGTCACACGCATCAATCGTGTTCTGCAGCAGCCGTTGGGCCACATGTTGATCGCGGGCGCGTCCGGTGTGGGCAAAACGATCACCGCACGACTTGTCGCGTGGATGAACGGCATGGCGCTGGTTCGCCTCGGGGTTCACCGCAACTATCAACTCGACGACTACGAAAGGGACCTACGTGACATACTTCGACGCGCCGGGTGCAAGCTGGAGCGCGTCTGCTTTCTCTTTGACGACAGCAACATCATGGAGGCGAGCTTCTTGGAGTACATGAACGCCCTCCTGGCCTCAGGGGAGGTACCAGGCCTGTTTGAGGGCGAGGAGTGGGGGAAACTCATGGAGGAAATACGCGAGAGCGTGGTGGCGCAGCAACTCCTCAAGGCAAGCGGCAAACCGCAGAAGTTGCCCCAGCTGGAGGACGACGACGATGATGCACAGACGCAGCACGACCACCAGCCGCTGCCGCCGCCGGCGTCCACGTTGCCTTTGCCCAGCGGCAAAATCAAGCACGCCGCCACGGGCAGTGGCGCCACGACGGCTCCGCAACAAGAGGCGCTCGACACGATGGTTTCCGCCGCGTACGTCGACACCACATCCGAGCAGGAGCTGTACCGCTGGTTCCTTGGAAACGTGAAGCGCAACCTCCACGTCATCTTCACGATTGATCCCTCCGCCGGGGAATTTGCAGGTCGTGCTGTGGCGAGCCCGGCGCTCTTCAACCGTTGCACCATCGACTGGTTTGGCGAGTGGGACCGCCACACACGCTACCAGGTCACACGCCAACTCACTGAACCGATTGATATCATGTTCTCTTGCGGGAACACGTTCCTGAAACGCGAGAGTGAGGCCCGTGATGCGCTGGCAGACGCACTCTGCGGCATTCACGAAATCGCAGACGAGGTGAATCGGGTTGTGCGACTGCAGAACGCGCAACATGGGACATTTATAACGCCGCGCCACTTTGCCGATTGCGTACGTCAGCTTCAGTTGCTGTACGAGGAGAAAAAAGGCGGATCGAAGGAGCAGGTGCTGCACTTGCGCAGCGGCCTCGCCAAGCTGGATGCGGCGTCCGATGAGGTTGAGCAGCAGCAAGCCAAACTTCACGAGCATGAAGCCGTGTTGGCAACAAACAGTACCAAGGCGCAGATGATGCTCGATCGCATTGTCACAGACACGGAAACGACGAAGCGGGAGAAGCAGGCGGCTGAGCGCCTGCGCCAGCAGCTGCAGGAGGAGGAGGAGCTCATCGTCGCCGACAAGGCGCAGGTGCAACAGCAGCTGTCAGAGGCGGAACCCGCGCTGCGGGAGGCGGAGATTGCGCTCAACACCATTCGACCAGAGTACCTCCGCGAGATTCGTGCCTACACGACCCCACCACAGATGGTGCAGCGGGTGTTGGAGGCCGTGCTTGCTGTGATGGGAGAAAAACGGGCGGATGAGTGGGACGTCATCAAGCACCACATCCGTCGCGATGATTTTCTCGCGGGGGTGAAGGCCTTTGAGCCGCGCAGCATCACGGAGGAGGCGCGTCTGACGGTGCGCCAGATGTTGCAGGAGGAGGACTTCACGTACGGGGCGGCACAGCGTGCCTCTAAGGCGGCTGGTCCGCTGCTGCAGTGGGTGGGGGCGCAGGTGAAGTACGCGGAGATATTAACCGCGATGGAGCCGTTGCGAACTCGCATCGATCACCTCACGGAGGCCCACAGCGCCAAACACGCCCAACTTCAGCGCACCGAGGCGGAGATAGCGGCAATGGAGGCGTCACTCCTGCAGCTCAAGGAGGGATACCAAGAGGTGACGGAGGAGATTGCAGGAATCAAAAACACGATGAGTGGAGTCGCCGCCCGCTGCGAACGCGCCACAAAGTTGCTGCGGCAATTGTTTGATGAACGCGGACGGTGGGAAACGGAGGCTCTGGGCTTTGACTCCGAGGTGCGTACAATTTTGGGCGACTGCACCCTTGCCGCCGCGTCGTTGGCGTACTTTGGCTACTTTGACGAGCATACGCGGCAGTCGCTACTCCTTCCGCGTTGGCGTCGCTGCCTGCAGCAGATGCAAATTCCTTTTCGAGAAGAACTTCGCAATGCTATGGAGTACCTTGTGACGCCGCAGGAGCGACTATCGTGGGAGCTGCACGGGCTGCCGAAGGATCATCTCTGCATCGAGAATGCAATGATTCTTAGTCGTTGCCAACGTTACCCGTTTATTATTGATCCGAATGGTGTTGCGGTGTCATTTCTTTTGCAACAACATGCGACGGATAAAATCCACACAACAAGCTTCAGCAAAACGGGTTATCTGAAGCAGCTGGACATGGCTGTGCGATTTGGTTACCCCATTCTTATGCAGGATGCAGAGTTCATTGACCCAGCGCTCAATTCGCTTATTAATAAAGAAATCCATCGCGTGCAGGGTCATGCCTTGACGCGGCTGGGGGCACAAGACGTGGAAATGGCAGCGGCGTTTCGTCTGTTTCTCGTGACGCGTGACTCGCACTATCAGCCGTCACCCGGCATGGCTGGTCAGGTTTGCCTCGTCAACTTCACCGTGACACAGTCCTCGCTACAGTCGCAGTGCCGACACCGCGTCATGCTGCATGAGCACTCCGAATTGGATGTTCGGCGGGCGCACATTTTGCGTGCTCAGGGTGAGTACCAGCTGAGACTGCGGGTGTTGGAACAAGAGCTGCTCACCTCCATCGCACGCAGCGAGGGTAGCCTGCTAGAGAATGACTCCCTAACCGTCGTCCTGGAGCGTCTGAAAGGAGAGACCGAGTCGCTGAAGGCTGGCATTGCAGAGAGCGAGGCATCGATGCAGGTCATTACTGAGGTTGAGGCGCAGTACCAACCCATTGCAGCAGCAGTGGCAAAAATTTACTTTGCCTTGCGTCGTTTCTCACAGCTGCATTGGTTGTATCAGTTCAACGTGGAATTTATCTTTCGCATTCTCGCGGACGCCTTGGCACTCCTACCTGCACGTTCTGCGGATGTTGGCGGGGTTGAGGAGCGAGACGAGGACGCGGCACGTCTGCAAGTGCTCACCCGTGAGGTGTTCAACCTCGTTCACCAACGTGTGCGGCGCGGGATCTTTGCAGAGGACCATCTCGTGCTCGCCATTCTGCTCGGAAAGCTGCGTAGTGGCATTGACGACCGCGTGGGACGCCAAATCACTCTGGAGGAATGGAGCTGGTTTGAAGACGCGTTGCACGACCCTGCCAAGGATGAAGCTGGTGTGACGGCTGCCGTTGCTGGTCCGGGCGGTGCCTCGCACGCGATACCCGTTATTCTGCGCGAGTGCGGTGTGTGTGTGCCGGCGTCGGAGTTTGCCCTGGCGGCATTGCTGCAACGGCCGCTGTTTGCAGAGGTGCGGGCGTCACTGCAGAATCCGCAACACGGGGCGGCCTGGCGGCGGTACTTGGAGTCCGCCGCACCGTACGCTGAGGTCATGCCGGCGTTCCAGGCCGCCGCTGCCAAGGAAAACAGTCGCGTCAGTCATAGTGGTTCTCGGGAGCACACGCGTCGTGCATTCCTTGCCGCCTTTTTCCTGCTTTACACACGCCGGGATGCGTTTGCGCCGGCCGTCCGGGAATTTCTGCAACGCTTCTTCGACGAGGAGCCTCCGAGCGTTCATCCCGACAACAAAATCGGCTGCGGCTCCTTTTTCACGGCGGAGGCCCCTGATCTCGCCGCGGTGCAGGCGGAGCTCTCCAACAGCACGCCACTCATCCTCGTGGCAAACGCTGGCAGCGACCCAACGTTGATGTTGGAGACGCTGGCCCGTGCCCTGGACGTGACCCTGCGGGTCGCTGTGATGGGCAGCGCCACGGGCCTTGACATGGCGGAGCGGTACCTGACAGACGCCATGGCAGAGGGAACCTGGGTGCTGCTGAAGAACATCCACCTCGCGCGGACCTACGCCGATGCGACGGAAAAGTGGCTGCATCGTGAGCTGTCGGAGGGTCGACTACATCGCAACTTTCGTCTTGTGCTCTCCATTGAGGCTGCCCCGGGCATTCGCTGCCGCAGCGGATGCGGCGGGGACTTTGACGCGGGCAGAAGTAATGCTAGTGGTAACGATGGTGGTAAACGCGCTGAGGAAGCGTTGGAGGAGCTTCCTGTGAGCCTTGTAGAGGCATCGGTGGTGCTGGTTTACGAACCTCCGCCAGGGATGAAGTCATCCTTGTTGCAGACCGTAGGAGCGTTGAAGCCGCACTCCAGCTGCGCCAAGCAGCCTGCGGACATCCAACGCATCTATCTTGCTGCCGCCTGGCTGCATGCGGTGGTGATGGAGCGGCTGCTGTACATTCCCATGGGGTGGAGTTCACGGTACGAATTTACTGATACCGAGTTCTGGCGCATCTTGCAGGCTGTGGACAGTTGGGTGGGAACTGCTGTGAGAAGTGGTGGTCGTGGCGGCGGCGAAAGGGTTGACCGCGACCGTGTTTCATGGCCCGCACTGCAAACAATTGTTGGTACAACGTTGTACGGTGGCAAAATCACCAACGAGTTTGATCAGCTACTGCTGGATTGCCTCTGTTCGCAACTCATGAGCAAGGCCGTCTTCGACGATGATCGCCTGTTTGCCTTGACTGACGACGAAGAACTTAACGCGCGTCTCATGTGGCGCTCGATTCAATCTCTGCAGGATGTGCAGGCGTGGGTGCGAGCGCTGCCGGATGCAGAGACGCCGCTGTGGGCACGTCTTCCCGCCAGCGCTTCACGCGTGGTGTCGGCGCAGCACGCCGTTGCGACAATAGAGCGGCTGGCCCTCGTGAGACTGATCGAAGAGGGGGACAATGAAGTCGCGGCTCACGACGATGCCGAGGCGGGCCATGAGCTGCACGCCGCGCCGCGCAGCATTGGTGAGACCCACTGGGGGCAGCAAATTCAACGCTTCTGCCGTGTGTGGCATAGCGCGCTCAACGGATTGGGAAACATGAAGCCGCGACAAACTCCCGTGACAAGCTCGCTTTCGTTTGTGGCAGAGGAGACTGCGACGGGCGGCGACGCAAGCGTGGAGCCCACGGCAATGGCTATAGAGCGAGAGTACAGCTTTGCGCTGGATCGCCGACGAGAAATTCTTGAAGACCTTGCGGCATTGGAGGAGATCTGTGCAGGGTCACGAAGCCCAACGGCAACACAGCGTGGATTAATGGACCATGTGCTGCGCGATCAAGTGCCCCCACACTGGGCCCGCTCCTACCACACATTTCCAACTACGGCAGACCAGTGGATGTCGGACTTCATGAGCCGCGTTGCCCACGTGCAAGCGATGCATGAGGCTGTACGGCAGAATACATTTGAAACAACATGCCTTTCTCTCGGTCTCCTCTTCTGGCCTGGGGCGTTTCTTACGGCGACGAAGCAGCAGGCTGCTCGCCGGCAGCATCGCTCGCTCGAACAGCTGCAGCTGCGACTAGAGCTCATGTCAGAAGACGCGACACAGGCCCACGCCGCGAGCAACAGAGAAGAGCCTCAGGTGTGGCATCTCGTCGGTCTCACACTTTACTCCGCCCGCCTTGTAGCAAATTGTGGCAAGTGTGAACTTCTCCCAGCCACCTCTGGCACCTCCTCCGCACCCATCGGCGCTCTGCTTCACTGGGAACCGGTCCCTGCACCAGCAGCGGACGGAGCTGCCCCGCTGGCGTCGAAGTCATCCCTGTTGATGCGATTGTTGTCGCAAAACCCGGCGCATGGACGCTTCGCAACGCCGTTTTACATGAACCCGCGCCGTGATACGATGCTCGAAGTGGTGGAGATCGCGGTGGACCCCGTCAGGTCGCCGATGCGGGCGTGGTACGAGCGCGGCGTGTGCCTCGTCGCCTGCTCCCTGGCGGAACGTTGAATGCCGCAGAGCCGAGAGAAGGCCCCACGGCGGAGGCCAGCGAAACCGAAGGGTTGAAAACACTGAGGGGAAAAAAGGGGCGAAACGAGAAATGAAAAGAAAGGAAGAAACTAAAAAAAAAAGAAAAGAAAGAAATGAAAACTGAATGATTGGAGAGTGCAGAAGAAGCGATGACGGGGTAGGATGCGGGTGGAGTCGTCCAGCCAAACAAGGGCCGACAGAGGCACAAAAGACGTTGGTGCTTTCGCAGTGCCTCTCTTACCCTCCTCCTCCTCCTCCTCCCCCCTCTACACGCACACGTGTGCGTGTATGTGAGGGGGAGAGAAAACGCGGAAGCGCGGAGAAAGAGACCCTCGTATCCCGGCATACGTGCCTGACTTGCGCTTTTTTTATATCGCACAAACGCGGTGGTATCGGGCGGCCTTAGTAGGACGCGTGCAACATAAAAACAGTCAAGTTTCCCGCTCCTTTCCATCCCCAGAAACAAACAAGGTGGACGAAGGTAGAAATCAAAAGAGAAGCTACTGGAT